CTAGCAATAGTGAGGATATATTACCAAAAACAACTGGTGGGAGCTCCATTGTTGGTGCTAGGGAGGATAGGAATAAGACAGGGAAACATGCACCAACAGGGAATACAGCCACAGAAACCCAAGGCAAACGGAAACCAAGCCTGTGCACATACTATGCACTTGGTATCTGCAGACATGGGAAATCTGGAAAAAACAAGATGGGACATGCAACTATGACCACCCTAGAAATGCCACATGCCCATATGACAACAGGAAAATGCAAACTCCCTTTCCTGTAAGCTTTTTCACCTGAAATGTGTACCTCTTCAGTACAGGAAAGACTGTGCTATAACTTAAATTTCCAGGCACACCATCTAAAGGGTACAAAAAGATACAAAACATCCAGGCCATGGGAAAACCTGGGTGCCACACCACTCAAGAGGGAGAGGTCTTTTAGTGCCAGGAAGGAAAAACAACTGGCAGGAAATGGCAGAATCGATACACCAAATCCAGTCATTCCTGGAGTGGAACCACAGTTGATGGCCTCCACTCCAAACCACAGATACAGATACTAATGCCGGAAAAAAAATCCCCCCCCAGTACCAACAATACCACCAGTCCAGTGACATTCTTCTTTGCAAATATACAGGGTCTAAAGCCAGCAACAAACAACAAAATACCTTTCATCCGTGGACTGCTTGCAGAGGCAAAGGCAATGTTCGCTGCTTTTACCGAGACCCACATAAAGGATCACTTGGACAACGAAATATGGATCCCAGGTTACAACCTATACAGATTGTGACAGAGTGGAACAGGCAAAAGGGGGGGGTTGGCCTGTACATTGCAGAGTCACTTGTTTGCACAGAACTGCTAAATGCCTCAAATGATGTAGTGGAAGTTTTAGCAGTAAAGGTCGAGAACCAAAACCTAGTCATTGTGGTAGTCTACAAGCCTCCGGATGCAACATCCCAGCAATTCCAGGAACAGCTGTTAAAAATTGACCACTGTCTGGAAAATCTTCCAGCTCCTGCACCCAACATCTTGCTCCTGGGGGATTTCAACTTAAGGCACCTAAAATGGAGGAATATAGCAAATATTGTTGTAGTAATAACACCAGGAGGCAGCTCTGATGAAAACTCACACTCACACGAGCTTTTAAATCTCTGCACAAAATTCTATTTAAACCAGCAAATAATAGAGCCTAACTAGACTGGAGAATACACTAGACCTCATCTTCACTAACAATGATGATCTGATAAGAAATGTCACCATATCAAAAACAATATACTCAGATCACAACATAATTGAGGTTCAGACATGTATGCGAGGAGCCCCAGACCGACATAATGAGACTAGTCACGAGGGAGCATTCACCAAATTCAACTTCAATAACAAAAACATAAAGTGGGACCAAGTAAACCAAGTCCTAACCGATATAAGCTGGGAAGATATACTAAGCAACACAGACCCCAACTTATGCCTAGAACAGATTAACTTGGTGGCACTCGATGTATGCACAAGGCTTATTCCTCTAAGAAAAAGGAGGAGTAGATGTAAAATAGAAAGAGACAGGCGCTCCCTTTACAGGCGACGGAAAAGAATAACAGAGCGGCTAAAAGAGGTCAATATATCTGAAATGCATAGGGAGACACTGGTCAGAGAAATAGCAAGCATCGAACTCAAGCTAAAGGAATCTTATAGGAGTCAGGAATCGCGGGAAGAACTGAAAGCCATAAATGAAATCGAAAGAAACCCAAAGTATTTCTTCTCCTATGCCAAATCAAAGTCGAGAACAACGTCCAGTATTGGGCCCCTACTTAAACAAGATGGGTCCTACACAGATGACAGCAAGGAAATGAGTGAGCTACTCAAGTCCCAATATGACTCAGTTTTTAGCAAGCTGCTAACCAGACTGAGAGTCGAAGATCAAAATGAACTTTTTATGAGAGAGCCACAAAATTTGGTTAACACAAGCCTATCCGATGTTATCCTGACCCCAAATGACTTCGAACAGGCGCTAAATGACATGCCCATGCACTCTGCCCCAGGGCCAGACTCATGGAACTCCGTGTTCATCAAGAACTGCAAGAAGCCCCTATCACGAGCCTTTACCATCCTGTGGAGAGGGAGCATGGACACGGGGGTCGTCCCACAGTTACTAAAAACAACAGACATAGCCCCACTCCACAAAGGGGGCAGTAAAGCAACAGCAAAGAACTACAGACCGATAGCACTAACATCCCATATCATAAAAATCTTTGAAAGGGTCCTAAGAAGCAAGATCACCACCCATCTAGAAACACATCAGTTACACAACCCAGGACAACATGGGTTTAGAACAGGTTGCTCCTGTCTGTCTCAACTATTGGATCACTACGACAAGGTCCTAAATGCACTAGAAGATAAAAAGAATGCAGATGTAATATATACAGACTTTGCAAAAGCCTTCGACAAGTGTGACCATGGCGTAATAGCGCACCAAATGCGTGCTAAAGGAATAACAGGAAAAGTCGGTCGATGGATCTATAATTTCCTCACTAACAGAACACAGAGAGTAGTCGTCAACAGAGTAAAGTCCGAGGCAGCTACGGTGAAAAGCTCTGTTCCACAAGGCACAGTACTCGCTCCCATCTTGTTCCTCATCCTCATATCCGACATAGACAAGGATGTCAGCCACAGCACCGTGTTTTCCTTTGCAGATGACACCCGAATCTGCATGACAGTGTCTTCCATTGCAGACACTGCAAGGCTCCAGGCGGACATCAACCAAATCTTTCAGTGGGCTGCAGAAAACAATATGAAGTTCAACGATGAGAAATTTCAATTACTCAGATATGGTAAACACGAGGAAATTAAATCTTCATCAGAGTACAAAACAAATTCTGGCCACAAAATAGAGCGAAACACAACGTCAAAGACCTGGGAGTGATCATGTCGGAGGATCTCACCTTCAAGGACCATAACACTGTATCAATCACATCTGCTAGAAAAATGACAGGATGGATAATGAGAACCTTCAAAACTAGGAGGCCAAGCCCATGATGACACTTTTCAGGTCACTTGTTCTATCTAGGCTGGAATATTGCTGCACACTAACAGCACCTTTCAAGGCAGGTGAAATTGCTGACCTAGAAAATGTACAGAGAACCTTCACGGCACGCATAACAGAGATAAAACACCTCAATTACTGGGAGTGCTTGAGGTTCCTAAAACTGTATTCCCTGGAATGCAGGCGGGAGAGATACATGATTATATACACCTGGAAAATCCTAGAGGGACTAGTACCGAACTTGCACACGAAAATCACTCACTACGAAAGGAAAAGACTTGGCAGACGATGGAACATCCCCGCAATGAAAAGCAGGGGTGTCACTAGCACGTTAAGAGACCATGCAATAAGTGTCAGAGGCCCGAGACTGTTCAACTGCCTCCCAGCATACATAAGGGGGATTACCAACAGACCCCTGGCAGTCTTCAAGCTGGCACTGGACAAGCACCTAAAGTCGGTTCATGACCAGCCGGGCTGTGGCTCGTACGTTGGTTTGCGTGCAGCCAGCAGCAACAGCCTGGTTGATCAGGCTCTGATCCACCAGGAGGCCTGGTCACAGACCGGGCCGCGGGGGCGTTGACCCCCGGAACTCTCTCCAGGTAAACTCCAGGTAAACTATATGTAGAGAGGATGGAGAGCAATAAGAGAGTATATATCTAGGGTAGAAGGTAGGAGGGTCAAGGGTCGCTCCAGAAATGGTTGTATGGAAGAAGTGGTAAAAGAAGTTTGCAGTTATAAGAGCTTGAGCATCCAGCAGGCTTGTGTGAAACAAGTTAGTAGTATGTAAAGTAAAAGGACACAAGTGCAACTAATGAGAAATTTATTGTGGCAACGTTTTGCTCTCCAGGAGCTTTATCAAGCCATTACCAGTAATGGCTTGATAAAGCTCCTGGAGAGTGAAACGTTGCCACAATAAATGTCTCATTAGTTGCACTTGTGTCCTTTTACTTTACGTATTGTCGGTAATTCTACCAACTTTATTACAAGTTAGCAGTATACTTGAGTCCTGGAGGTGGCAAGGGCAGTGCCTGCACTCTGAAGCAGAGGTGGGGATACTACAGTCACCAATCTGATTTGTGATATCAACACACTTCTGGCAAGACAGCAGTTGAATGAATGAATGATGGTAAATGTGTTTTCTTTTGTGGTCATTTGGGTAAAAAAAAAATATCTGCCCTTCTTAACAACTTCTATTCCCAAACATTACCTTTCCAATTCTGAGAAAAATCTGTTTAAAAGTGTGTTGTAGGAAGCTGCTGTAATGCCAGGAGCAAGGGCAAGGTTACCTCTCTATTTGAATGTAAATTTTAAAAATGGAAAAGAAAAAGCTACTGAGGCTGGGTAATTTGAACTGAGTGTGGCTTTAGTAAAAATGTTAAGAAATAAATACACTGTTATGAAAGTAAGGATGCTGGATGTCTTATCACTGACTGAAATAAAGTTAAAATGAGAAGACAGATTTAATGAAGAAAAGTGAGATTAAGTGAGCTGTATGTGGGTGATTGAGAGCTAACTGAAGAGCAGTAGCAATTAAATAAACAATTGTGGGAAAAGAAAGGGTGTAAATGTTTAATTTCAAGAATAATGTGGATTAGACTAAAGTGGGATACAGTGTTTTAAATATTGTATGCATGAAGGAGCAAGGGGCTAGTAACCCCTTCTTCTACATATACTAAATTTAAAAGGAGAAACTTTCATTTTTTCTTTTGGGCCACCCTGCCTCGGTGGGATATGGCTGGTTTGTTGAAAGCAGCAGTGTATGTATAAGTGCCTCTGAGGGTTTTCACCACCAATTGATGTAGACATAACAGTGTAAACTTTGCCAAAGAAATTATTGTCATAATCTGCATAATTATGTGCTGTAATATATTTTTTTATGAGATCAGAGGACAACTCACTGTGTATGCACCTGGAGGTTAGAGATGTATATTGGGGATATTATAATAATGTCTAAATTATTCTCTTCTGGCAGGCAAGAACTTCGAGGTGACAGTAATTACAAATAAAGTTGAACTTACTGATGACGACATAGACAATCGAGGATTTCATCTCAACTATGTGCTGGAACCATGCTAAGTTATGCAGAGGATAATGTCTTGGTACTCAAGGTTTGACTTAACCATTGCCCATATCTTACATTTCATTGTTTTCTTGCACACTAGTACAGCTAAGTATTATGCCAGGGTACACATACCAACACATGTACTGTACACTACAAAGCATGTACACTTGCATACAAACATGTAAACATATACGTCCTCGGAATACAAACAGCTCAAAACTCGAACAAACATATACCTCGGGATACGAACAGCTCAAAACTCAAACAATTATGTAAGTGCATTTAAGTGCTTTTGTAAATGTATTTTTGGGGGTCTGAAATGGATTAATCTAATTTACATTATTCCTTACGGGAACAAATTCGTTCGGTATTGGCACTCGAGCATCCTTCTGGAACGAATTAAGTTCATATCCCGAGATACCACTGTAGTACTACTTGCATACATGTAACAGTGATAAACAACAGTTAAAACTTCCTTGCTTGGGTTAAACCCAGTAACAGTGTATTTGACCATTCCCAAAGTCAATCTGGTTCCTGCAGCCTTTTATACTAGTTTTCTTGATAAGGTTTCACTCTGTGTAGAACAAAACGTAATTCCAAAATTCTAACTTCAGATGCTTGGGTGAAAGACTACCTTACTGGAAATTACCCAAATACTTTGTATCTACCTCCAATGAAGCCTACTGAAGTCTCACTCATCATACAATCACTAAAAAACAACACAGGAAACCTAAATAACTTGCCACCAGTCACGTACAAAAAAAGCAGCTCATGTGCTGTCACCCACTATTGCAACTCTATTTAACAAATCCGTGGAATCTTCAACTTTCCCATCCATACTCAAGATAGCAAGGGTTACCTGGTCCTCAAATGAGGTGATCCAGCTGGTGAATAACTATAGGCCTGTATCATACTTGCCTTTACTATCTAAAAATCTTTGAATAAAATAATACATGAGTGAGTCTACTCCTACCTAATCTCTCACATCATACTTAACCCCTGACAGTCTCAGTTTAGGCCCCCAAAAAAGTACAAATGATGCAATTATACAGAACTTGAAAAAAATGAATATCCTCTGGGACTCTTCATAGGCCTGTGGAAAGAATTCAATACAGTGGACCACAGCATCTTGCACCTTAAACTATAACATTATGGGGTCAGAGGACATACTCTTGCATACCTAAAATCTTATCTTAGCAATAGACATGAGTGTGTCTCCACAAACGGTATAACCTCATCTACTCAGCCTGTAGCCACAGAGTGCCCCAAGGCCTTCTGCTCTTTCTCATTTACATCATTGATATTCCCAGCACATTTCATCTCCTTAAACCAGTTCTATTCACAGATGATACTACATATATCTTCTACTCAAACCCGACTATGCTCAGTGACACTGTTAACAATGAACTACTAAATATATCTACATGGATGATGACCAACAAACTCACCCTTGATATAGACATACCCTGCTGCATGCTGTTTGGAAACAGCTTTAAATATCCAATGTAAACATATTGATCAATGGTTTCCCCATTACAAGACACACTGAGGGTAAATTTTTTGGTTTTTCACCTTGACTGCAAGATGAAATTTCATACCCACATCCAACACATAGCCAAAGTCTCCAAAGCAGTTAGCATCCTCTCCAAGATATGGTACTATGTATCTTAAATGGGCCTACTTACACTACACCACTCTCTAATCTACCCTTACTGCACATATGGTATTTATGTTTGGGGATCTACTAAGGCAAATCACCTTAAACCATTAATAACCCGACAAAAACCTGCTGTGTGGATTATCATTCATTCCTTTGCCAGATAACACACCCCTCTGCTCATCAAGAGTTTGAACTTGCTTAATATATAAAATATACATCCATATTATTGTGCCTGTTTTATATATATCCTTTCAGGGTCTGTCCCGTAGTTCTACGGCTTGTCCACAGCGCCCAAGAATTTTCCCAAAAAATTTATTTTTTCTTATGAAATGGTAGAGAATCTTTTCCTGAAGGTAATAAAACAAAAAATAGAAAATATGATGGAAAATTGACGAAATTATGCTCTCACGAATTTTGCTGCATCAGCAATATTTACACAATGGTGATTTTGCCCACTTTGACTCCTATTTTAGGCCAATTACATTATTGCAGTCGACCAAATTCTTAGCCGTTTCACTAGTATCACTTCTATTTCATCAATTGAACACAAGAAACTGTCCAATCAACTATTTCAACTATTCAATAGTGATCAGAATTTGGTATTTTGGCCGATTTCACACAAAGTTCAAAATATTCCAGTTTCAAAATAGGGTCTAGAATAAACAATGCAGGCATTCCTGGCACTAAAATAACATTTCCTCTGTTTATTAGTTATGTTTTCAGGCTTTACAGATGAATTCCATTTTGATTTTTTATCCACATAATGAATTTTTATTCACACCAAAAAATAGAAGATTTACTGTTATGCAATATTGTAATACATAATTATATATATAATATCAGCTCATTCATGAACGTATATTAGACCCACCAGTTGATGTGTAATGGATGCATGACGTCATTTATTTACTCTTGAACATCGGCAAAAATTAAACATTTCCGCTATTTTGAGCTCAATTTCAAGCTATTTTCAGTAATAAAACCAATCAGAATTATCTCTATTTCTATAATATATCTTCCATTCTATCAAATGAGACCAAGAAACTGCAACTATAACCCTAAAAAAATTCGAAAATACACGGCAAAGTTGCTGTTTTAATCCAAAAAACACAGTCGCAGTTTTTTTCTCATTATGCACTGTGTGCTGCAGGATTTGCATTATATGGTGCACACTTACCACATAGATGCATTGTCTCACATCTAGGCCCAAATTTACCGCTCACAGCTTATCTGAGTGAGCTGAGCTCATGACGTAGTACTATGGCTTGGACCCTGGTGTCTGCCTTACCCTATGCAAAAATGCAGTGCACATAAAGAGCCCTAAGATCAGGAATTCATTGCCCAAACCAGCAAAAGGTCCCCTGTCTGCCAGTCAGTTTAGAACTATAATTAAAAATCACCTCATCTTCCAAACATAACTACACCAACACTTTGTTAACTCATCCAACTTCCTGTTTCTTCACCATCTCTTATAATCTTCCCATAGTCTGAAATCATAGAACCAGTTTGAAACTAGTTAAGAAATTCAAATTAACTTAAGATCACTGAATCTGTTTAAAGTATGAATACATACTTAAAATTGTAATATTGTAAATTGCCCTAATTGTAATAATTTTCCTACCTCTTTTTGTAATAATACATAATTAAAATTTACCACTCAGTAACCTATATCTAGTCTTAAATAGTGTGTAAGCATTATTATTAGTCTGCCAGAAATGCTCATGCATACTAATGGCTTTTTTTGTGCTTAACAATATTTTATTACATGTAAACTACACCTTGTATACTACACACAAAAAATATTTTTTGTTTATTAGCAGTATGCTACATGGAACTGATCTGCCCAATTGTAAACCTTAACTAAGAATGTGTGTACTTTATATTTTCTTACATGTTAAACCCACAGCTAGGATTTAATACAAGATCAAAAGTGAATATTTATACACTGGCTCTTCTTAAGTTTCTGTAATGACTTGACCAGGCACGGATTCCATACTGGTGCATCATACTTAACCCGTAAATGGTCCAAATGTATATATACGTTTTTTCAAGATTTGAAAGTATGTAAAAAAAGTAGATCTTCCTTTTGTTTTTTTACATTTGAAAATGTGTAAAAAAACTTTGATCTACTTTTTTTTTTTTGTTATATTTGAAAATATGTAAAAAAAACGTAGATCTACTTTTGTAGCACTACACATGTGAACGTAGATCTCCTTGGACCGTTTATGGGTTAAAGATTAATCTGGCATATGTAGTGTTCTTAAAAGGACATTGGCCTTATTGTATACCCAAAGAATACACAGCATGCAGTGCGGTTAAGATGTACACTGTTGATTGAAAAATAAACATTGCTTGACTAACAATATCTTTTATGTCAAAAAAATTCTGCTATTTTTTCTTACTTCCAGGTATGATACAGGTTTATTTTTAGTTTTAGAGTCTCTACTATGTCCCCATATCCATACTGTGGGCAGCACCCAAATAAAAAAAAATACTGGGCATATAATATTCTAAGATAAATTCATTTTAATCATTCCCATCTTCAGTTAGAATTATTCTGTTGCAAAATTTTTACTGAATTGTGGGATAGTCAGCCAGTCACACACAACACATTTAAATTTTTGTATACATAGTTTTCTCGGTACCATTTGCAACTTATGTTATTATCCCCTTGGTTTTTTTATATTTTTTCATTGCTCCCAAAAGCAGCTTGCCCACCTTACCATTAAGTATGGCTGAGGCTGTCCAGTCTAAATAATTAAGCATATTTTTCTGTCTTCCTCCGTAAGCCATGCGTGTTGTAAGAGGCGACTAAAATGCCGGGAGCAAGGAGCTAGTAACCCCTTCTCCTGTATACATTACTAAATGTAAAAGGAGAAACTTTCGTTTTTCCTTTTGGGCCACCCTGCCCCAGTGGGATATGGTAGGTGTGTTGAAAGAAAGAAAGATTTTGCTGTCTTTAGAATTTATTAAAAAATGTAGGCATGAAATAATGATCATAAAATACAGTAGGATCTAGTAATCAGCTTTCATACACAAGTGGAAAAAAGGTCATTTTATATATGTACAATAATATTTTTATATTGGTTTGTGTATAAATATTATTTGCATATCCACTGTATTATTTTTCAAAACTTAGGATTAAATTCATTATAAATACTGTACATACTTTAAAATAATATTTATACACCAAGTATTTTTCCTTCTAAAAGAAAAAGATACATACATATAAACATTCCAAACTTAAAATTTGTGCTTAGTTTTGATTGTAATAATAATAATACTAATCCAAACTTTAAAAAAAAAAGCAAGCAAAACCCATTGTTAAAATATCACTCGGGTTTAAACTAGCTGTAAACCTTCAGATGTTTATTATATGTACAGCAGCACCTTATGATCCATAGAGGTTTAATGTTTTATTGTGAAAATTGTATTTAGTAACATGAACAATGACACACTTGAAATTTTAACTTCTGTATAAATTCTGAGGTATTCCTGTCATTACTTATTTATTCATTCAATTTCTATCGCTTGATCAACATGTGGGTTTAACACTTTCCCATGTGAATTAAGTGTATTACCCTCATATTTCTTAACACCACTTCACATTTATAAAACCCAAATGCATCTGAAGTAAACATACAATACATACATTACATTACTCTGTCTTTAATACTCAAATGTTAAACATTTAAGAATAATTCATACATTTTTTAATATATTGTACCACAGACGTATACAGTACAGGAGGACTCAGCTTTACAGTGCTTCACTTTATGGCATTTTGCTAATGCAGCAGCTTTCAGTTAGAGTGGCACCTCGAGTTACTAGCTTAATTCGTTCCAGAAGGCTGTTCGAGTTTCAATACCGAATAAATTTGTTCCCATAAGGCAGTGTTATTCACTAATTTTTGCAAGAGAGCCACTTCGGTTAAACGTTGATTGAGAGAGCAGCAGCTACTGCAAGTTAGCGTAACTCAACTAAATTAAGTAGTACTGAGCTGCTAGTGAAATATAGTAAATGAGAAAAATTAGACATGGTAATATTAGCCTGCATATCTTGTTATTGGCGGCTCGCGAGCCGCGCAATGAATACCACTGCCATAAGGAATAATGAAAATTAGATTAATCCGTTTCAGACCCCCAAAAATACACTTACAAAAACACTTACAAAAATACACTTAAATATAATTGTTTAAGTTGGGAGCTGCTTATAACTCAGAGTACCACTGTATACCCATTCTTCATTTATTTAGACTAACTACATATAAGCTAAGGATGAAAATATTTTAAGTAATGTGTGTACTGTATATGCCTTTTTTTAGGCCTAGCTCTATTGCTCACTTAGTATATGATAATGTAAACATGTTATCAGGCTTTTATATGCATTTGAAAGTGGAAAAAAAGCTATGCTTCACTTTACAGCAGTAGCCCAGAACCTAACCTACTTTATAAATGGGGCCCACCTGAACACACATTATTTGACTTGTTTGTATTCAATAAATAACAAACCTTGCTGCCCTGTATCACTGCATGGTGTGACATCTAATATAGGTAGTTACTTTAATATCTTTATTATGCACCTCACACCCATCCTGTGGACGGTAGTCAAAAGATTACAGAGGTACATAATTTGTCCAGGGACTGGACTCCAAAGTTTTGAGAGCTGAGCAAGTTACAAAGGTAATGAACTAGATCTGGTCACAGTCATGGCCAAGTAACAAAGGTAATGAGCTCCAGGTAGAGCTGGTCACACTCATGACTAATTACAAAGGTAATGAATCATAAACACGTTAATCGTGAGATTTACAAAGGAAATGAGCTCCAGGTAGAGCTGGTCACAATCATGGCAAGTTTCAAAGGTAATGAATCATAAACACGTTAATACATGGTTACAATTATGAACAAATTACAGAGTAATGAGCAGTTAACAAACATTGTGGGGAATTCATCTATTGCCTTCACGGCACGTATAACGGAGATAAAACACCTCAATTACTGGGAGCGCTTGAAGTTCCTGAACCTGTACTCCCTGGAACGTAGGCAGGAGAGATACATGATTATATACACCTGGAAAATCCTAGAGGGACTAGTACCAAACTTGCACATGAAAATCACTCGCTACGAAAGCAAGAGACTCGGCAGACGATGCAACGTCCCCCCAATGAAAAGCAGGGGTGTCACTAGCACGTTAAGAGACAACACAATAAGTGTCATGGGCCCAAGACTATTCAACTGCCTCCCAGCATACATAATGGGAGATTACCAACAGACCCCTGGCTGTCTTCAAGCAGGCACTGGACAAGCACCTAAAGTCAGTACCTGACCAGCTGGGCTGTGGCTCGTACGTTGGATTGCGTGTAGCCAGCAGTAACAGCCTGGTTGATCAGGTCCTGATCCACTATGAGGCCTCATTACAAACCAGGGTGTGGGGGCGTTGACTCCCGAAACTCTCTCCAGGTAAACTCCAGGCCCCAACAACAGATGTTGCTAGGTGCCTGTCCATCCTCAGCAGGACACCCAGTGAATGTGCAATATAGTATATAGTATTTCTCATGTTTATAGGATGCAGCATGGAGGTTGAGACATGAAGCTTATAGTATTAATGACAGGGTTGAGAAATATGAATTCTGATGCTAGGTACACTATCAGCATTTTGTTTCAGCCACAGAATTTAAAATTCTCAAACATAGAACATGTAGTTTCAACCTGAACATTTAATGTTACATGAAGTATAATTATTATAATTTAAAACTTTAAACATACAGCATTTTTTTTTTTTTTTTTTTTTTTCAACAAGTCGGCCGTCTCCCACCGAGGCAGGGTGACCCAAAAAAGAAAGAAAATCCCCAAAAAGAAAATACTTTCATCATCATTCAACACTTTCACCACACTCGCACATTATCACTGTTTTTGCAGAGGTGCTCAGAATACAACAGTCTAGAAGCATAAACATATAAAGATACACAACATATCCCTCCAAACTGCCAATATCAGCATGTAATGCATAAATCAAAATACGTATAGTATTTTGATCTTCAAGCTACAGTATATTATTTCATGTTTACCTTTTCTGAAATACTGATATCAGCAACATTTTGGCTAACAAGTTTAACATGTACATGTACTGTTTTGGTCTATGGTGTGACAAGAAAGTCACACGAGTCTAGTTAATTATTAAAAAAGAAATCAGGCTGACGAGTTACCATATGTAACTTTTCTTAGACAACTCCATTGTTGGTGACAATACATTATCATTTTTAGAACATTAACAAAAAGCAGGGATCAGTTATTTTTAAACAGGTTTTACTACATCTCAGAGCAGCAGTGTAAATTACAATTTCTCAAGTACTGTATATACTAAACTTTTTCATGGAACTAGGAATGCCAGTTATTCTACATTTCAAAAGACTACATATATTTGGAAGGATTTTATTATTCTAACGGACAATGGAAATCTAAGATACTATACAACATGTCTGGTTTGTGAAATATTCACCTTCTCTAATGATACTTAAAGATATTATATTTGCAAGAAAATCACTGCACCCATATAGGTATTTATGGAATATAATCTAGGCTTGCAAGAGTAAGGATATTTGAAAGTTATTTTCAATGTATAAATGTAGTTACCATATTGGTGTCGAAATAAAGTGCTGAACGATTCAAACATACAAGTTCTGCATTTTTTTTTTTTTGTGAATATAAGTAACATTTTTAGTAGGAAAAACTTTTTATAAAATTATCTGGACAAGACTGCTTCTCAGTAAGAACAGGAAAATCCCTTGGTACGAAAATTGAGAACATAAAACAACTGCACGGTATTAAAAGTGCTGAGTGGGTACTGTGTAAAGACGTAGTCCTGTATAGTGAAATGAAAAATTAAATATAGTTTTATAGTGTCAGTACCAAAATTTACTAGACCTTAATACAGGATATCAAGGCTCCTCTTCTTCCTGAGACTGGGTTATCTTTACATGATGTAAAGAAGTGCATCAATTTTGCTTGGGAGGCTGTCTTCCACACACACAGTCTATGAATGAACACGCCAGCATATTCTTTGGTGTAAATGACAAGAGTATTTTCTCTTAAAATGCCAGCACTGTTTAACCTCAATGGGTTGAGTGCCTTTCCCACTAATAAAATATGCAGTATATTAAGGGTCTTTCCAGTAGTATTTGCCATTACTGGAGAGCAAGCTGGAAGACAAGGTGAATTATAGATTATTATTATTATTATTATTATATTCAAAAAGAAGCGCTAAGCCACAAGAGCTATACAGCACTGAGGTGAATTATAGAGCCAGGTGAAATACTTATCAATTTGTGCATAACAACTGATATACAATTATCATATGATCTTATTGATCTATGTGCTTATTGTACAAGTACTTTTATATTTTCCTGTATAGTAATATTTTAGTAAAACAAAATACAAAAATAGATTTTTCATACAATGTTGTATTACCTTATAATACTGTAAACGGTATTTTTTATTGAAATGCCTAACACATCTTTATGTTTCTTCCATATCTGAACATTAGCTTAAGCTAGTGGAGACAATTTGCTGCTGACTTCTGACAGTCTATATATAACATGGACCCATTCATCATTTTGGTCATGTGTGCATATATGTCTTCATGTGCATGCTTATATAACAAAAAGTTTTGAAACTTATCTACTCAAAATTGAGTTTTCTTATTTTTTCTAACACTCTGGCTATCTCCCACCGAGGTAAGGTGACTGGGCAAAGAGGAAGACATTTCCAATGTCACTCATTCAATCACTGTCTTGCCGGAAGGGTGCCACCATCACAGTTCAAGTGACCTTCCAAATGACGTCTCTGTTCCTCTGTCAATGTGCAGGCACTGTTCTCCCTGCCTCCAGGATTCAAGTCTGGCTAACTAGTTTCCCTTAATTTCTTCATAAATGTTTCCTTTCTCATACTCAAACAGAACATCAAATCATCAAAACCACTTGCCTCCAATCACTCCTAACATGCTCACTCACACAAGCTTATTGCATGTCCCAACCTCTAGTACTCAAAACAACCTCTTTCCCCTCCATCCAACCTCTCCTAAGATGACCCCTACCCCTTCTTCCTTCCACCAAAACTTTAAACACCCTCTTCAGCCCTCCGAATAATACCTTTGGTGACTCCACACCTAATCTCCAAACCCCAAATTCTCTGTATAATATTCACACCACACACTGTCCTCCAACACATCATCTCTACTGTCACCTCATCCTGACTACTACATTCAAAACCCATGCTTGACACCCATACAACAGTGTTGGGACCACTATACTGTGGTACATTTCCCTTTTTGCCTGCATAGATCAACTTCTTTGTTTCCACAGATGCATCAATGCACTACCCATTCTTACCTTTGTCAGTTCCATGGTTCACCTCACAGAACCATCTGCCGACAAGTCCACTCCACTCCCAACTTTTTGACATTTCGTTATACAATATTTAAAAATTTCAATGCATGGCACTTGAATAGGCTCTTTCTGACAATTTAAAATATTATTTGTTTTAACTTTTAAAATAACAGTACTCATTCTTCACCCCTGAAGTAGTGTAGGCTTCTCACAACCTTGGACATTAGTAGCACAGTTCCAGTAACTTTTTGAAGCACAATATTTCCTATTCATTTGCCAGTTAAGCATTCTCAATGGGACACTAAACACTAGTTCCCTTTTCTACACTGCAAATATTATATATATAGCTCTTTAGGGAAAACCAACTCACTGACTTTGACGGGTTGCAAGCGTCTCACCCTGAATAGGTCAACAGAACAGTTTCTATTATATTTTTGGGAATGCTTACTCCTTTTTCTTTATATAACCAGATTGAGCAATGTTTCGGATTCAGATTCCAGGAGGTAGGGCTCGATATGGCTCATTCCCTCATGGCCATTAACTACAACAAAAATAATTAACTTTTTTGACCCCCTCACCATATCTAAAAAATATATCACATTGTAAAATAATGCCAAAATTGTTAAGAAATATAAAGCTTTAACATAATAGGAGAAGTGAACGTAAAAACAATATACGTACAGTGTACCACATAGTTGTATCCCAAATGGCTGATTCTTTAAATAAAATAAAAAGTGTCATACAATTCAAACAAAATTCACAATGTACTATATAAACTTTTCCCTATCTGCACCAAAAATTATTTAAACAATTGTTGAAAGAGGCTAAATGTTTAGCCATGCTCTACAATGGATACATAAAATCTTAAGAGTAAATTCTAACTATAATTGAAAGACAACACTTGGTGGAAGTAATAATATTACGGCAGGACAAATGTCTGAAGGTATATCTGATATAATTCCATTTCAGGATTCTGTTACAATCTAAATAATATTAACTAAAATTCTGTAGATCACCAGGCAGCTCATCCTCAAAGACTATAAACAACACAACCTGAATAATCAAACCTTTTTGTGCTGATACTCCTATCAAGAGGGGTGCCTTGATGATAGTAAAGGGCTCTTGATCCAAATAAGTGGAGCTCCTTCCTATTTCTTAGATCCCACCTGACTTGCCTCCCATTCCCCATGCACTGTATAACCATTAAGAGTTTAGTGCTTCCCCATGAACATAATCTAGGTACAGAAATGTAACTGGTACTGGGGGACAACCAGATTCAATCCAAGGAAGGGGAGATCAGGTTAAATGTTTTAGATCAAGAGCTTTTCACTAGCATCAAGGACCCTATCTTGAGGGGAAACTATTTCATGAATTTCCATAGGTTGCTTACATTATTTCAACAATACTGTATTATGGAAGCAGAACATTTGTATTCATTTTGAGTAATGCAGTACTATTTATGACCTGGTAATGTACCAAGAATGGCATGTGATACAGTATATCATCATGTGTACTTAGTATGTTAGGATAAGCCTATCTGATTACATGGGCCATTAAGGCTGCAATTAATTTGTACACTTGACAACTTAGTGTATTAAAGTACCATGTGGACACCATGAAATCATGTCTATCAATGTATATACAGAGATACACATCTTTTGGTGTATATACACACCTTTTTGATGTATATGCACAGATATTCATCCATTTCCAGTACACCAAATGAAAAAGATCTCTCAGTGTATATACAGTATATGAATACACATCTCATTGTATATACTGTACCTTGTCATGTGCACTTGTAGTTGCCACTGTCTCAATATTGCAGCACTACAGCTGCATTTATGTGATGCTCAGGACACTATAACAATGTATGAAAGATGATACCCTAAATGATTCATGATACTACGTGAAACACAACATGACTTGTGATAAGGTGAATTGGTTTTTTCGGTACGCTTCTCCTTCGGACGTGCCATTTGCAGTTCTAGCATTCTTCATGATCACTCTTTTCCAATAAGGTTTCCCTAGTTTCATCTGATACCATTGCTACTTTGGTCTCTTGATCTATGATGTATTCTTTGCCTTCTGAAAGAGTGACATAAAAAATATTAATTCAATATATGTCACCACATTGTTTACCTAAAGTATTTCATATCTGAGTAGTAATTTATCGACATTATTGTTTATAAGTTAGGGACAAAGCCCTTTATTGGCTTATTGACACTTCCTGGCTAAGGACAAAGCTATGTCTAAATGGATGACTCATGAAGTTTAACCTAATAAAGAAATGTGTGTATCATCCACAGTCTTATGAATTTCTATTTATATTATGAAAATTTTAATGGAATATTTAAATTTTCATTTGTTAACAAATTAGAAAGATGAACCAGTAACTTAAGATGGTGGTCAACAGGAAAATTAAACTTAGGACAAATTCATTTGACTCTTTCCAACATTTAAACTTCCATACCAAAAAAAAAATTAGAATGCTTTAAAAATACAGCAAGTCTCCATTGGTAGTTCTTTATATGGCCAGGCAGCCATGAACCCAGTAAAGAGTAAAAAAGGCACAATACCGACTGGAACAATGCATCAGTTAATGGTCCAAGTCACACTGAAGCACTGTCAAATATGTGGGGTTATCTGTGTAAAGAACTCAGTATTTTCTTTGGTTTAAATCCTGAGAATATTTCTTCATTTGTCAAACTTATATTGGTATGACCCCAATAGGTTTAGCAATTTTTTTTGGACTACAGTAGTATATAGATTCTCATTTCCTGACAAACTGAAAGCAGAATTTGTAAATATGCATGCTGTGCCAAGAGTATGAAAAATTGGCATAGGGGGCATGTTATGTCAGTGCTAGAAAATGAGAATATTACCCAGTAATTTTCAAAAATGACATCAATGATGATACTTAACATTATTTCTTAGACTCATGAGAGCACATAATCAAATGTATTATACTGTACTTGAAGTAAGAATTAACAAAGCCATGCCCTACAAACATGGCTCTGTAAATCATGTCACTGTCCCTACACAGAGCTAAATGACTCATAATAAGAGTTTTGTGCTTTTTTGTGATTATAATAATAATGCAAATTTTCACTACCTTTGTCAGACTTGGGTTCATTCCATGGCTGGACCTTATTTGATATGAAGATGATATAGAGGGTGTTGGTGACCAAGTAAACAGCCGTTGTGATGAGGAAGACTGACCTCCACGCACTCAGGGTTTGCTGAAGAACAAAGACAGAGTGAGAAAAGCACAAGCCTGGGAACAGCTTGGAGAGATTTTACACCATTCAAACCCCTCAAGGAAGGTTCCTTGATGTTGGTGAGGGGCTCTTGATTTAGGGAATTGGATCTGTGCTCCAGTTCCCCGAATTAAGCCTGAATGCCTTCCACATCCCCCCCCAGGCGCTGTATAATCCTCCGGGTTTAGCGCTTCCCCCTTGATTATAATAATAATAATACACCATTCAAAGGGAGGTGAAAGGCTCTGGATCCAATGCATTGGAGCTATCCTCCCATTCCTTGGATCAAGCCTTAATACTTCCCATGCACCATGTTCTGCATAACCTGCACAGGTTTAGCATTTCTCAATTATTTTTTTTTTTTAACAAACTGGCCGTCTCCCACCGAGGCAGGATGGCCCAAAAAGAAAGAAAATCCCCAAAAAGAAAATACTTTCATCATTCAACACTTTCACCTCACTCATATATAATCACTGTTTTTGCAGAGGTGCCCAGAAGACAACAGTTTAGAAGCATATACATATAAAGATATACAACATATCCCTCCAAACTGCCAATATACCAAACCCCTCCTTTAAAGTGCAGATATTGTACTTCTCATTTCCAGTACTCAAGTCTGGCTATATAAAAATAACCAGTTTCCCTGAATCCCTTCACTAAATATTACCCTGCTCACATTCCAACGGCTCTTCAGGTCCCAAATACCATTCGTCTCCATTCACTCCTATTTAACATGCTCACGCATGCTTGCTGGAAGTCCAAGCCCCTTGCCCATAAAACCTCCTTTACCCCCTCCTTCCAACCTTTTTGAGGACGACCCCTACCCTGCCTTCCTTCCCCTACAGATTTATATGCTCTCCATGTCATTCTACTTTGATCCATTCTCTCTAAATGACCAAACCACCTCAACAACCCCTCTTCAGCCCTCTGACTAATACTTTTATTAACTCCACACCTTCTCCACATTTCCACACTCCGAATTCTCTGCATAATATTTACACCACACATTGCCCTTAGACAGGACATCTCCACCGCCTCCTACTTTCCCGTGGAGTTGCATTAGCTTATATAACATGTAAAATGAAATGTTCTTGAAAAAGTGAAACCTTATTCAATATTACTCACATTTCCTTCAGTGATGCTGCCAGTGATCATGGGTGCCAGGATGCCAGCAAAAGATCCGAGTGTGTTGGTAAAGCCCAATAGTGTTCCAGCAAAGTTAGGAGCAAGCTCTTGGTGTGAACAAAGGAATCCACAGTTGGCACTCCCACTGATTCCTACTGCCATGCACAATACCACCATGGCCAGAACCGTATTGCAGTTGACGAAACACATCACCACCAAACCAATCATTGGACCATACATTGCTGCAGAATAAATACTTGCTTTAATATGTATTAATTGCCTTCATTACATATTTTTGATTGCAGGTTTGATTTTAAATCTCAGTGCAACATTAAAATAATAAAAAATTCTGGAAAAGTATTTGATTTCTTCAGTTCTGGAAAAGTATTTAATTTCTTCAGCATTACAAAAAGAAACACATATGCATGATTTTCTGCAGTTATATCCTCTTACAATTAGTGTAGCAGTCCAAATATAAATAAAAGTTATGTGTAAAAAATTTAAAGTTTTTTCCTGTAATCATATTCACATACTTTTCAAATACATAAACTGGGTCTAACATGTTTAAGGTCTGAATAGGAAAAGTAAAAAAAAAAAAAAAAAAGGAGAAATTGTTAATACAATACCTGCAAATTGCCTGCAAATAAATTTAAGTACATAAATGCTTAAACATTAGTATACTTACCCAATGCCATGGAAAGTCTACGAATACTCAGGAGTGGGAGGAGACTGGCTGCAGTGAGTCTGTCCATTAATGAGCCCCAGACATAACCCCACAGCCACATTACTAGGAATGGCAGTGATGACATCAACCCATTCTGCAGTGACAGAAGAGAGTTACTATGAAATATACAGCACAATCTTGTAGGTGAGTATATTTTATTTTACTGTTGACATATGCAGCATGCAGTGCTGTATATACAAAAGTTTACGAGTAAACCCTCAAATGAACATACTAATAGGTGAAATAGGTGGCCAGTAATGGTGAGTATATTGCCATGATCATAAACATTTCTTGCTCCTAAATGAAATTTCCTAGTGCATTGTACCTTGTTCATCCTGACTCCATTAAAAAAGGAAGGACTTACTACTAAACATCTGAATTTTGGTAAACAATGCCTTAAAACAACGTGCAACTTTTTTTTACTTTATTTCGTTCAAGGAGATGCCTTTCTGCCACTGATGGGATAGAAGTTCAAAGTAGAAGCAAATTATATGAAGAAACAGATTTATTTTCTCTCAGTTTCATATAATACCTGGAGTTATCAAGTGATAAAAATCATGCACTATTTAACCCTTTCAGGGTTTCGGACGTACTAGTGTGGCTTACGCACCAGGGTTTTTTTGACGTACTAGTACGCATAAATTCTAGTGCCCTCAAATATAGTGAGAGAAAGCTGGTAGGCCTACATATGAAAGAATGGGTCTATGTGGTCAGTGTGCACAGTATAAAAAAAATCCTGGAGCACACAGTGCGTAATGAGAAAAAAAAACTTTGACCGTGTTTTTGAATTAAAACAGCGACTTGCACTGTATTTTCGTATGGTATTTATTGTTGTATTCTAGTTTTCCTGGTCTCATTTTATAGAATGGAAGACATATTACAGAAATTAAGATGATTTTGACTGGTTTTACAATGAAAAGTACCTTGAAATTGAGCTCAATTTAGCAGAAATGTGATTTTTACCAAAGTTCAAAAGTAAACAAATCATGCTAAGCGTCCAATACACGTCAACTGGTGAGTCTAACATTCTTTTAGAAGTGCGTCGATATTATTTATAACATTTCTACACTAATGCAGTAGTCTGCATAACAGTAAATCTTCTATTTTTTGTGAGAATAAAAATTCAAAGTAGAAAGCAAAAGAATGTAAGAAGAGCGTGGGGATGTGACTAATGAACAGAGGAAATGTTATTTTAGTGCCAGGAATGTCTTTCTTGTTTATTCTGGACCCTATTTGGAAATTGGCATCTTTTGAAATTTGTGTGAAATTGGCAAAATTGCTAAATTCTGACCACTGTATTGGATAGTTTAAATCGGTAAATGGGTGGTTTCTTGTACTCATTCGATAGAAAAAATGGAGTTCTAGCAAAATAGTTATGATTTTTGTCAACTAGTACAGTGCAATTGGCCGAAAATAGGGCTCAAAGTGGGCAAAATCGCCGATGCGTAAACATCGTCGAGACCGCTAACTTAGCGAGAGCATAATTCCGTAAGTTTTCCATCAAATTTCATACTTTTGGTGTCATTATGATCGGGAAAAGATTCTCTATCTTTTCACAAGAAAAAATATTTTTTTTTTTAAATTTGGGCGACCCTGAGAGCAAGTCTGGGAGAGGGCCTGGGGACCCTGAAAGGGTTAAAATGCTGTATGACCCAATGGCTATAGCTCTTATATTTTTATTAAATAAAATAATATTATCTATTAAGTAATTTCATAATCATTCCACCTTGCTTAATACTTGTATTACTTTATCATTATTATACTCGTGGGGAAGTGTTGGGGTCAAACAGTGCTAGGGTAACGGGAGGTAATTAAGTTTAAGCAGAGGAAAGGAAGGGTCGCTTCAATTCCTTATATCAAAAGCCCTTCATCACCATTAATTGGCACTCCTTTTGAAGTATTGTATAAATTTTATTGCTTTCCTATTTATATTTTAGAATACTGTACTTAACCTCTCCTTGCCCTGATCCCAAATTACTGCATATAGCCCTAGATCAACACATCTGACATTTGAATTCCTTCACCACTCTGAACTAATCTGACCCTTCAAGAAAGGTGCCTTGATGCTGGTGAAAGGCTCTTGATCTAAGGAATTGAAGCTATCCTCCTTTGGATTGAACCTGATTACCTCCCATTCTCAAGGTGCTTGTATGACCCCCTATAAACTTTGGACAGCCCCATGAATATAATAATAAATAACATGAATGAACTGACCTGGCTCATATCAAAGTGCTGGATGTTCTTGAGGTAGGTTGGCAGCTCAGTGAGGAGGGTGTAGAAGCCAAAGTCATAGCCTAGTGATCCAGCCATCAGTCCCCAGAAAGGCAGCGAGAGTGCAATATCCTTCCATGGTATGGCCACAACCTGTGCACATACATTCAATTAACTGACATCATTATTAAAAGAATTGTATAAAAATACATACTTTGCACCACAGATACTTCTTTAGGCCAAAATTTTTGTACTGTAAATAAATGCTGTTCAATGTAATTACAGTGGAACCTAGGTTTTCGTCTTTAATTCATTCCAGAGAGTCTGACAAAAACCAAATACGTATAATGAAAACTGAAGCAATATTTCCCATAAGAAATAATGTAAATCCAATTAATCCGTTCCACACACCCACACACACTCACACACACTCTTGTTGGTGTAGGAAAACAGCAAGGAGGGGAGAGGGAGAGGTTATCTCTACTACCATCACTACCGCCATCCCAACCACTACCACCATCACCACCACCCTCAACCACCACCACTACAACCTTCTCTACCTTTGTAGAGGGTGGTAGTGATATTTCTCCACAAAACTTTGCAACCCATTCCACTTTCATACTTTGCTACGAGTTCTTTCTTGAATTCTATCATGTTTCTCACCTCCTTTATCAAAGGGCTAGCACCTGGAACTTTCTTTGGTCCCATGGTGGCTTATTTAGCAGTCACACTCAATAAACAAGCACAAAAAAATGTATTATTAAAAAGTGTTTCGTATGAATGTGCAGGGTAATGTTCACTCAACGAGAAACAAAGCCAGACTGACTCAGAATGCGTGCGTGGAATGCTTTGTGTGGGCGCGGGCAGACAGTCACATTCCGTATGAGGGATGAAAACCGAGGGGATGAACGAAAACTGGGACAATATTTTCATGAAAAAAGTAGTCGAAAACTGAATTCGACGAAAACCAGGGCAAACGAAAACCAAGGTTCTGCTGTACTGTACTGTGTAAAGAAAAAATATTTATTTCTTCAATCATACAGTTAAATGAGTTTCCATTACATGTTATCTTAATACCATAATGAATACATTTCTTAATTCTTTACAGGATGTAAATAATGATCTATACACAAATAACCTGCACATAGGAGAAAAAAACCTATGACTTTGGTCTGACTTGGACTAGTTCAGGGGTGGGGAACCTGCAGCCTTCTAGAGGATTAAGTGCAGCCTTCTGAATGAGTTATTTTTCTTGAAGTTATTATATAATAATTAACAGTTTACAAAATAACCTACATTTTGCAGTACATATCTCTAATCAAAATTTCTTGCATGCAGCCTTATTAGATTATAGCCAATTTTAATGTGGCCTTCCAACATGAAAAGATTCCCCACCCCTGGACTAATTAATGATTCAAGTCAGATTAAAATGTCATCATAAGTTTCTTTCTCCTATGTGCAGGTTATCTGTATACTGTTCTAGTCACGGTATTATGCCTTTTTATTCAATAATGATCTAGTAATATATTATATATAATATATATATTATATATATATATATATATATATATAAATATATAAAATATATATCTAGGTAGTAGGTTGGTAGACAGCAACCGCGCCAGGAGGTACTAACCGTCCTGCCAAGTATGTAAACGAAATGCTGTAATTGTTTTACATGATTAGATTCTGGTGTCCTTTTTTCTGTCTCATGAAATCAAATTTCATGATCGCTTAGTTATTCTACTTAACTTAGGTCACACTACACAACATGTACAAGCACATATACCACACCCCTGGGTTTCTTTATTTTCTTTCATAGTTATTAATTCTTGTTTATTTCTCTATCTCCATGGAAGTGGAACAGATACTTTCTTCCGGTAAGCATGCTGTTTGTAAATGCAACTAAAATGCCGATGCAAGGCTAGTAACCTCTTCCTGTATATATTATAAATGTAAAGGAGAAACTTTAGTTTCCTTTTGGCCACCCTAGTGATACGGCCGGTTTGAGAATATATTTATATATATATATATATATATATATATATATATATTATGAGTAATATATACTAGATCATTATATATACCTCTGCTCTCTTAATGTCTTTTTCACATGACTGAATTTGAGCCAACTCCTTGTTAGAGATCCTGGGATGATGCTCAGGCCGGTCATGTATCAACAGGAACCAAGCGACACCCCATATAAGACCCAGCCCACCGAACAGGTAGAAGGGCGATGGCCAGCCATCCAAGAAACCCGATGAACACAACCAACCACCCACAGGCAAACAAATCACGGTGCCCAGTGGGAAACCTGAAAGATTCAATGTTAACAGGTGTAGAATGGATCTTGGAACCTTAATAATGATACAGTATATTCTTTTCTCATATCAAGAGCAAAATTCCTGTAAGTTTTGTTAGCAAAAGAATTGGTACCTTCACACAAGGAAAAATTAATACATCAAAATCAGTGTACTTTATTTGTAACAATTATTTTTACTGACTAGTATTTATTTTTACAATATACAATACCATACAATTTTTATTTCTTGATGCATTACAAATAATGTATAAAGTTTACATGTAATAAAACATCAGTAAGCACAAAAGAAAGCCACAAATTAAGTGATGCATGTCAGGCCAAAATCTTTCAAAACTACATACACTGTTACAGGAGTTTGTGACTAAAATGTTACCCAGAAATCCAAGGCACAATATGACATTGTGGCCTCACTCAACAATGATTTGATTTAATTTAATTTCCTGTGGTTCTCTCTTCTGCCACACAAATATCTTTCATACCTTCTTACTTCCCCAAAAACACCTACCTCACTGCATCCCCCCTTACAAGAAATGACCTCACTTCATCATTCCTCCAGAGAAACCATCCTGCTTCATCCCTCTACCACAGAAATAAAAATACAAATATGTTAACACCAATACTGTATATTACCCCATTAGCATTTGGTCATTGAAATAATAAAGGGATTTAAATATGCTTCTTGAATGTTATAGATTGGCCTATTCTAAGACCTTTTTCCTCCTGTTACTTTTGCTGTATCTTTTTTTTTTTTTTTTTTTTTTTTTTTTTTTACAATTTTTTATTGTGATAAGGAAAGTCACTCTCCTAGGTCTAGAATTACACTGATACACAACTTGACTTTTCACTCCACTTGGGTAAGAGCTAGTTAGGGCTCTTTGACTAGTTACTTTAAAGATGACAGAGTTTCTCTACTGGCTTGCAGCAATGTTAAAAATTCCCCTATCAGAAAAGTAGAATGCTAATTACTGATTCTCAGCACTGGCATGACAGTGGTTGCTGAATCAGTGACTGGATCATAAAATGCTTTACTGTTTCCTGACAAACAAATGCCAAGAAAAACAAAGTTAATGTTTAATAAATGAAAAATGAGGAAAAATGGGTTCTCTGGTGGGGAAATGAAGTGAGAAAGGTTTCTGCTTAACACTTTAAGCAACCACTGGCTTACTGGTGCTATGTGCTCTTTATTAAGCATCCACTAGCTTACCATAGCACATTTCCATTCTATTTAAACATAAATCATCACATTTTTGTATCTTTGGATATGTGCACCAGACACACATTTCTCTATTCACATGTGATTGGATGATGCAGACTAACCTGAGAAGATGATGGTGTTGTACCTGCTTCTCTCTGTGGGAGTGACCCAGGTGGCCAGCATGGAGTTAATGGCTGGGAACACCACTCCCTACAGTGTACATATAAACTAATTATATGAAATGTAAGAGCCTGATGGCATATATTGCTTTACACAAAGTATAGTTGCAGAATTTTATGCAGTCACTAAAAAACTATTTCTTTATATGAGTTTTAGGCTTTATATTGTTTAACTGATATGCAAGAATACTACAAAAGCATTTTGACTTGTGAATCACAGAAATTTGGTATGTACAACTATTTTAGTCAAAACAAGGTGCTCCACTTATAATAATAATAATAATAATAATAATATGAGAAAATACTGTTAGCTTGGCACCATACTTGTGCCAAATGCCCGACCACCCTCTCTGAGAAGCATGGTACCCAGACTGATATACATACCTAGCTAGCCCAGTTGGCTCCATCCCAGTGGAAGTAAACTTTCCCCCTGGTTAGTGGAGGACACTCACTACAACTCTACACATGAGAAATGCCTTTACACCAGCAAAGGCTAACACAATGCAATGAATCCATGATCACCACCCATGTTAAAAATCTTCTAATCAACTGAAATCATTTATAGCACAAGGTGATAAGAATAGTGTTATAGTGAATGAAATATTGGAAGCCAGAATAAAAGAAACGATAAGGAAGGAAATGAATGTACAGTATTTATGTACTGTAAATTGGAGGCAGTCTAAACAGATTTATCACCAGATGGGTTTATGAAAGATGAGGTAAATCATAAAATATACAATAGACAGTAAGCTACAGGAATCTAGAACTAAAGAAGTTTATCAACAGTGCCATAAAGGGAAAAAGCATCACGAGTACAGTAGCAGTAATGCTGTTGTATGGTCTTGAAGCAAGGTCTATGAACATTGCAAGAGGATGAGAAGCACTAAAAATGTACTGTCTGATATTAATATTTAGTATGAATATTATGCAGACACTAAGATATAAAGTATGGTAATTAAAGATAATGTGGTGGTGGTATGAAAGGTATAATTCAAAGTTGCTGTAGAAGAACATAGTATACCATCCATTTACCATAAATGGTAAAACCACATAAACAGTAGGAGAGTACAGTACTGTATGTGCAAACCTAACATGAGGAATAATGTAATGGAAGATACAGCATATAAACAAAGGAATCAAAAATGGGATGCTGCGGGGGCATTGATCCCCGAAACCCTCTCCAGGTATACTCCAGATAAACCATCACTACAGAAGCAACAATTGTAAAATTATCAAACACAAGTGATCAAACAATTCTTTAATTTGAGCCTTCAACATGACCACCTTTGGGTCTAGCATGTTTGCAGAACTGACTTTATGCATTATGCTATCCTAATTTCTGAAAAAGCTCCTAACCTCTGGTACCCACATAAACTGACTGACAATGTATTTACTAAAGCTAGGAAGGCATTCTATAGAATTGAACCCAGGACTGAATATGTTTAGGAGAATGTGATGATCTTGCACTGCAATAACTACTCTTTCTACACAGGATCATGTATATCAAGAGGTGTATTTGTCTCAAGGGATGTGTTCTGAGAGTTTACTTTAATCTCTGATTTAGAGACCAAGTATCCTTGATTGGTTGTGTACAGATAACATGCAGCCTTAAGTACTGTAACCTTGTGCAGTCTATGTAGGCTTTAAACCCAATTAATTAACCATCTCACAATCTCTAAAGCATCCCTGAACAAAACTATGGATATGGAATTTTCTATCAGCACATGTGTACCAGGCTACTGGAGCTTGAAGCAAAAACTATTTAAATTAAAAGACACTAGTATTACTTCTGTGATTGAATTACCTCTTAAGTTAAAACACACAAATTTCAATGATGAGAAATTTCAATTACTGTACTCCGATATGGAAAACGTGAGGAAATTAAAACTTCATCGGAGTATAAAACAAATTCCAACCACACAATAGAGTGAAAAACTAATGTCAAAGACCTGGGAGTGATCACGTCAGAGTATCTCACCTTCAAAGACCATAACATTGTATCAATCGCATCTGCTAGAAAAATGACAGGATGGATAATGAGAACCTTCAAAACTAGGGATGCCAAGCCCATGATGACACTCTTCAGGTCGCTTGTTCTATCTAGGCTGGAATATTGCTGCACACTAACAGCATCTTTCAAGGCAGGTGAAATTGCTGACCTAGAAAATGTAGTGAACCTTCACGGCGCACATAACTGCGATAAACCACCTTAATTACTGGGAATGCTTTAAGTTCCTCAACCTGTACTCCATAGAATGCAGGCAGGAGAGATACATGATTATATACACTTGGAAAATCCTAGAGGGACTAGTACCGAACTTGCATACGAAAATCACTCCCTATGAAAGCAAAAGACTCCGCAGACGATGCAACATCCCCCCAGTGAAAAGCAGGGGTGACACTAGCATGATAAGAGACAACACAGTGTCAGGGGCCCAAGACTGTTCAACTGCCTCCCAGCATACATCAGGGGGATTACCAATAGACCCCTGGCTGTCTTCAAGCTGGCACTGGACAAGCACCCAAAGTCAGTACCTGACCAGCCAGACTGTGGTTTGTACGTTGGATTACATGCAGCCAGCAGTAACAGCCTGGTTGATTGGGCCCTGATCCACCATGAGGCCTGGTCACAGACAGGTCGTGGGGGCGTTGGCCCCCGGAACTCTCTCCAGGTATACCCCAGGTTAGCCCTTCTTATCATGCCATACTGTAGCTACATTTTCTTGAAGGTTCAGAGGCAGTGCATTCCTCAAGGAAAATTCCTTGACATTGACAAGGAACTCTTTAGTCTACGGATAATATTAGACTTGTCATCCTCTTGAACTGAACCTAACTTATAAATAGTGCTTGACAGTGATGAGATCTATAGTAGATTATGATGATAAGTGTAATGATGGCTTAGAAAAATTTAAATTACTGGAAATGGGGTATATTTAGGTGCTTATTTGGATACATCAGCATATTCCATAAACTCCCCCCCCTTCCCCCTTCCCTTCATACTAACGTTCATTCCACAAATAAACCTCACATAGAAGACTGAAATTTCGGACAACATTTTGGTCTGACTTGTTAATGGTCCCAGATGGAGTGAAATGCTGTCATAAGTTTCAGTCTCCCATGTGCAGGTTATTTGTGTACTGTTCCAGTCATGGAACTGTACCTTTTTTATTCTTTAATATTCATTCTTTGTCTCACCTGTACAATGCCAATGATGACTCTGACAGCAATTAAGAGCTCAGTAGAGAACCTGGCACTCAATGGAGTAAGAACAGTGAGGAGGGCAGACAGTACGATGCCCGAGCCAAACACCAACTTTCCTCCCATATACTCAGCTGCCCGTCCACCCAGGATGTTGGTGCAGCAGTATCCCCAGAAGAAGGATCCCAGGATCACTCCTTGGATGGATTCATCCCAGTCAAACTCTCCCACCTGCAAAGAAGTCTAACTGAAGCAATGACTCAGAAAAAGTGCACATATGGGTAACTCACCCCTATGTGCATCTTATAGTGAGTCACAATATACCCATCCTGGGGATGGTAGGTAAAAGATTACAGACACACAATTCGTCCAGTGGTTCCCCCCCACCCCCCAATCTGAATAATTTTTTTTATCACATTTATTCCTGAAAGTTGTAAAGACTAGTTAAAAAAATAAGGAGTTGAAACTCACTATTTTAGTTTGTTTTGTGATGCCAGAGGTGTTGGTGTCAGCGAGTTGGTTGGAGGCTGGGCACATGTTGGAGGCCTCGTGGGTGACATTACCATGGTGTTCCTGGGAACCTGCCATAGCCACAATTGCGATGGAAAGTACTACCCGCATAGCGTACATGAGAGCAATACCCACCAGGGCCAGGATGGCTAGTGTGTACCGCACCTGCCAGCATCCCCCTGTGATTAAAAAGAACATAAAATTGGAGGAGTGCTGTAGGCCTACTGGCACAGGCAGGTCCTTTTTAAATTAGGTATGTTTAACCTATTTTTTCGTTTCATTGAGTAACTCATCTATAACTACTGCTAAATCAGTGTAGTACTTTCCAATATCCTTTCTAAATCTGAATTTATCCAACTTAAATTTATTAATCCAATTTTAATCCATAAATATGTTATGCATAACCCAACAAGTGGCAGCTCAGATTCTCTATGCAAGAAACACTTTATTTCATAGAGTTTGACCTATAGTTTGGCTTAATGAAGAAAAATATTTTGTTCAGATTAACCCAGTGATTTAGTAACCCAGAATAACCCAATAAAGCTATGTTATCAGACTGTCTGGCTTATTTCCATTGGGGTCCTTTAATCCTCTTCCCTTAGATATAACCCACAACAGTCGACTAACACCCAGGTACCTACTTACTGCTAGGTGAACAGGGACAACATATGTATGGCAACATGCCTATTATCTCCACTAATTCAGGGATTAAACACCAGTGTCTGGGTATGTGAGCAGAGGTTGCTACCAACTGAGTCACAACAACTATCCATAGTGGACCATCACCACTCGCAAACGGCCATGATAAAGCCCCAAAGTTGGTCAAATGTTGTGAAATAAAGGTAATGACACAACTGAAAATAACTCGCTAGACGAGAGCGAGTCCTTGCCAAACCAGTCCTAAAATTTTACTCTCAGACACTGGCCTGCTAGTTTTAGGCCTGGCTTGCTAGGGGTTCGAAAGCTCCTTAAGGAGGTTAAGGTTTTATGCTGCTTAAAGTATATTTAAACTATCTGGTATGCAGTCTTACCTTCGTATCTGTCTTCCAAGTCAATGCTATCAGAGTGGAGTTGGAGGGACTTAGTGTTTGATGGCTGAGGTTGAGGATGTTCCTGGGGCTTGTGTTCGCCTATCACCTCCCCTGTGGGACTCATCAGTGATGGGTCCACACGAGTCATCTTACCTGCTGCACAAACATGTATCTTGTTAATTAATAAACATTTCCAGGTTAACATCCCTCCCCAACGTTTACAGTAATAGACGTTTGGGGGGTTAATGGTATATAATACCAACAAGCTGATGAATAAGACATGTGTCGCTACCTACCTGGAGGTGTTCCGGAGGTCATTGCCCCCGCCCCATTTTTCAGTCCCACTCAAGTGAATACTGGAGACTGGAATAAGTGGAATTTACACCATGGTTAAAATTTTGCACCTTTACCCATCAAGTTGGTGGCCTCGATGCAGGCCACCAACTAGCTACCCTTCCCTTCCTCGGAACAAACCCAGTTAACCTCTATTCCTCAGGCTCTGTATGACCCACAAAGCTGAGGCACTCTCCTTCCATTGAATGGAATTCAGGGGGAAAATACGATGTGTGACATGGAAATTTTAGGGAGGAATTTTAAGGGAGAGATTTAAGGAGAGGAATTTAAATTAAGGCATTTGAAGAGAAATTTATTAAGGAGAAGGGTACATAAGAGGGGGTTTATTAAAGGTAAGGGGTTATTAAGGAAGAGTGTATTAAAGGTAGCAAAGAACTACAGACCGATAGTGCTAACATCCCATATCATAAAAATCTCTGAAAGGGTTCTAAGAAGTAAGATCACCACCCATCTCGATACCCATCAATTACACAACCCAGGGCAGCATGGGTTTAGAGTAGGTCTCTCCTGTCTGTCCCAACTACTGGACCACTATGACAAGGTCCTGGATGCTCTAGAAGACAAACAAAACGCAGATGTAGTATACGCAGACTTTGAAAAAGGCTTTGACAAGTGTGACCATGGTGTAATAGCACACAAAATGTGTGGTAAAGGAATAACACGAAAAGTTGGTAGCTGGATGTATAATTTCCTAACAAATAGAACACAAATAGTAGTAGTAAACAGAGTAAAGTCTGAGGCAGCTACGATGAAAAGCTATTCCACAAGGCACAGTACTCGCTCCCATGCTGTTCCTCATCCTCATATCTGACATAGACAAGGATATAAGCCACAGCACCGTGTCTTCCTTTGCAGATGACACCTGAATTTGCATGACAGTGTCCTCCATTGAAGACACTACAAGACTCCAGGCGGACATCAACCAAATCTTTAAATGGGCCTCAGAAAACAATATGAAGTTCAATGATGAGAAATTTCAATTAGTCCGATATGGTAAACGTGAGGATTATTATTATAATCAAAAAGAAGCGCTAAGCCACAAGGGCTATACAGCAGTAAACGTGAGGAAATTAAAACTATATCGGAGTATAAAACAAATTCCAACGCCACCATAGAGTGAAAAACTAATGTAAAAGACCTGGGAGTGATCATGTCAGAGGATCTCACCTTCAAAGACCATAACATGTTATCAATTGCATCTGCTAGAAAAATGACAGGATGGATAATGAGAACCTTCAAAACTAGGGATGCCAAGCCCATGATGACACTCTTCAGGCTGGAGTATTGCTGCACACTAACAGCACCTTTCAAGGCAGGTGAAATTGCTGACCTAGAAAGTGTACAGAGAACCTTCACGGCACACAACTGCGATACAATACCTCAGTTACTGAGAACTCTTGAAGTTTCTCAACCTGTACCCCATAGAATGCAGGCTAGAGAGATACATGATTATATACGCTTGGAAAATCCTAGAGAGACTAGTACCGAACATGCACGCGAAAATCATTCCCTATGAAAGCAAAAAACTCGGCAGACAATGCAACATCCCCCCCAGTGAAAAGCAGGGGTGTCACGATAAGAGACAACACAATGCGTGTCAGGGGCCCAAGACTGTTCAACTGCTTCCCAGCATACATAAGGGGATTACCAATAGACCCCTGGCTGTTTTCAAGCAGGCACTTGACAGGCACCTGAAGTCAGAAACTAACCAACCGGGCTGTGGTTCGTACGTTGGATTACGTGCGGCCAGGCCCTGATCCACCATGCCTGGTCACAGCCCGGGCCGCGGGGGCGTTGACCCCCGAAACCCTCTCCAGATATACTAAATGAAGGAGTTTTAGGGAGGGGGGTTCTTAGAGAGAGGTGTTAAAGAGAAGAGCAGGTGAGGTGCCAGAATTTCCACGAGGTAAGGGGGGTTTTAGAGGTGGTTTTCTGGTAGGAAAGGGAGCTAGAAACATATTGTAAAGCAATGTTATTACTATTTTGGGTGACTGAAAAAAAATTGAGTGTAAGGCTTCCCTTGGCACTGCCCTTGAGGAAGGGTTTATTAAAGGGAGGGGCTTATTAGGGAAAAGAAATGCGTTCCCCACAGGATCTACGTGAGAATGGAGAGGTCATAGAGTTTGTTGTGGGTGAAGGGGGGGTGGGAGGGAGGGACTGGAGGATCAGTGATAAAGAGAAGACGGGAGGGAGGGAGGGGAAGACGTAGGACGGGAGGGAAGGAGGGGAAAAAGAGGGGGAGAGTGAGACGAGGAAAAGAGGAGGGAGGGAGAGTGGGGAGGGAAATGTCGGAGGGATAGTAGGGATGGAAGGAAAGAATGGAGGGGAGAAAGAGGCGGAGGGAGGGATAGATGCAGGGAGGGATGGGAGGGTAAGAGAGATGAAGGAAAGGAGGGAGGGGAGGGGAGTGTTAGAGGGAGGGGAGAGGAGTGTAAGAGAGGGGGTGGGGAGGAGTGTGTAAGAGAGGGGGGTGGGGAGTGTATGAGAGGGGGAGGATAGGGGAGGGTAAGAGAGAGAGAGGGGGAGGGTAGGGGGAGGGTAAAAGTTTTTCCCAGTATAGTCAGTAACGTCTGGTTTATACTGGTTACGTCTTCCTGGGAAAACCAGTTCTGTCTGGCAGTGTTGTCATTGTTCACTTTTGTTTTTTGTTTCTAATTCAGACTGGAATTATTTGCCATGGGGGGCGCTAAAACCGCAGGGGGTCATACAGCGCCTGGTATAAAGGGGAGATTCAGGTTCGATCCAAGAATGGGGGGAGCACAGGTCCAATCCCTTGGATCAAGAGCCCCTCACCTCCATCAAAACTCTACAGCACCACCTGTAAATATTAATTCTAAACAACATATATTTGTGTACATAACATATACATTTATAACTATTATTGGCGCTGATTGTCTATAATGTGTAAGATTATTATTAGTACTGGGAAGCGCTAAATCAGTATGAATCACGCAATACCTGAAGAATGGGAGGAAATCTGATTTAATTCGAGGACAAGGAACAGAGCTCAACTTTCTTAAATCAAGACTCCTCGGCCAGCATCAAGGACGCGTTAAGGACACGACAGCAGTTGTTAACCTTGTTAAAATGTCATGTAACTGAGGCAGCCTCTCACTCAGCTCCTTATTTCCTGCATCAATAAACATTTATATACAAATTTACACCAGTCATGTCATTTATAGTTATCGTTTATCCGTTATGGAAAACTGGAGGAAATAATAACTAGAACTGAGTATACTACAAACTCCAATCACACAATAGAGCGGAAAAGTAATGTGAAGGACCTGGGTGTGGTAATGTCTGAAGACGTCACCTTCAAGGACCACAACAATGCCACTATCACATCTGCTGGGAAACTGATAGGATGGATAGTGAGAACATTCAAGATAAGAGATGCTAAGCCAATGATGATCCTTTTTAAATCACTTGTTCTCTCTAGGCTGGAATACTGCTGTACATTAACATCCACATTCAAGGAAGGTGAAATTGCAGAACTAGAGAATATACAGAGAACCTTTACTGCACGTATAAGTTCCATCAAACACCTTAACTACTGGGAGCGCCTGGAAGCACTTGACTTGTACTCACTAGAGCGCAGGCGAGAGAGATATATCATAATCTACACCTGGAAGATTTTGGAGGGACTGGTCCCTAATATGCACACAGCAATCACTCCATACGAAAGCAAAAGACTTGGCAGGTGATGCAACAAACCCCCAGTGAAAAGTAGGGGCGTCACTGGTACACTAAGAGAAAACACAATAAGTGTCCAGGGTTCAAGACTGTTCAACAGCCTCCCACCAGCAGTAAGGGGCATTACGGGAAGACCCCTGCTTGTCTTCAAGAGGGAGCTGGACAGATACCTAAAGACGGTGCCGGATCAGCCGGGCTGTGGTTCGTACGTTGGATTGCGTGCGGCCAGCAGTAACAGCCTCGTTGATCAGGCCCTGATCCACCGGGAGGCCTGGTCGTGGACAGGGCCGCGGGGGCGTTGATCCCCCGAAACACACTCCAGATATAACAACTACTACTAGTATAACTATTATACCACCACTACTGCTGCTGCTGCTGCTGCTGCTGCTGTTGCTGCTGCTGCTGCTGCTGCTGCTGCTGCTGCTGCTGCTGCTACTGCTGCTGCTGCTGCTACTGCTGCTGCTGCTGCTACTGCTGCTGCTGCTGCTACTACTGCTGCTGCTGCTGCTGCTACTACGGCTGCTGCTGCTGCTGCTACTGCTGATGCTGCTACTGCTGCTGCTGCTGCTGCTGCTGCTGCTGCTGCTGCTGCTGCTGCTGCTGCTGCTGCTGCTGCTGGTGGTGGTGGTGGCTGGTGTGTGTGGTGGCGCGGTGGCGGTGTGTGTGATTCTTACTCAACTCTGCTGCTGCTGCTGCTGCTGCTGCTGCTACTACTACTACTAGCTGCTGCTGCTGCTGCTGCTGCTGCTGCTGCTGCTGTGCTGCTGTACTGCTACTGCTTGCTGCTGCTGCTGCTGCTGCTGCTACTACTATACTGCTGCTGCTGCTGCTGCTGCTGCTGCTGCTGCTGCTACTGCTGCTGCTGCTGCTGCTGCTGCTGCTGCTGCTGCTGCTGCTACTGATGCTGCTGCTACTGCTGCTGCTGCTGCTGCTGCTGCTGCTGCTGCTGCTGCTACTACTACTACTGCTGCTGCTGCTGCTGCTGCTGCTACTGCTGCTGCTGCTGCTGCTACTGCTGCTGCTGCTGCTGCTGCTGCTGCTACTACTGCTGCTACTACTGCTGCTGCTGCTGCTGCTGCTCCTGCTACTGCTGCTGCTGCTGCTGCTGC